TGACTGGAGTTCAGACGTGTGCTCTTCCGATCTCATTATACTTATATTATATTATTGCTATAATTAATTATATATTTATTTATATTGTTAAAACTAATCATTTATTTTAGTAGACATTTATATATTACATAATTGTTATAATTGATTATTTATTTTATAGAAAGATGAAAGGATCCATCTACATTTACTTATATCTTTATTTATATCTTTACTTATATCTTTTATTTATATCTTTCCGTGTAGACGTTACACAATCTCTTTCATGAGCTCAGTAAAAAAATTACGAAAATAAGATAACATGCAACGGGCAATTCTTTTCGAGTAAAAGATCCTCTGTGAATAGGTATTAATCCGAAGTATATATATCATTCATAATTCACTCAAGGAGAATCTTGTTATATATTCTATTCTCGATGATTTTTTTATTGAGCTCATAACGGATATAAACCATCTATTAGACGAATCCATATTACAGATAAGGTATTATTATCCGAAAGAATTATTTTTTATATTATTTTTATATGTTACATTACAATTATAACTTTTAGTAGAAAGATGAAAGGCCAGATCTATCTACATTGCCTCCTTTATCTATATCTTTCTGTTACACAATTTCTGTTACAAGCCCAGTAAAAAAAAACACGAGAATGGGATAATATGCGACGAAGCATTTCTCCTTGAGTAAAATATTCTTCCCGAATAGGCATTAATCCGAGGTATGTTATAACACTACAAAATGCGTGATATCGTTATAAAATTGACTTAAAAAAAAAAGTAAAAAAAGGATGTCAAGTGTAACCGCGCTCCTTGAAAAAAAAACTTGTATCCAAATTAAATATAATTTTTTTAAAAGATATTATAAAACTTAAATGGTGTCCTTCTTTGTACTTTGATGTTAACTAACTTTACTTCAATGATCAGGAGACGCGGTAGCGTCTCCCACCAAGTATATTTTTTCGCTACATGACGGTCAGGAAATATTTTTGTACTTACAGAGACGCTACAGTGTATCCTTTACCGGACGGATAACGTTTCTGTAGGAATAAATTATTATATCTTTTAATTATATGGATATTATCGGTAAATGCTTATTTTGTGAAAAAATCTATATTTTTCCAATCACAATGCTGTAATAGCGATGTCCATAAGTGCATTTGATGCATAAGCGCATAAAACGTATGCATTTTTGTGCCCTATAATATGTCATTCGTCGTCGTCGTCGTAATAATTATAATTTCGTCGCTGTGTTGTCTTTTTCTTCCCTTTTTTTCATAAAATTTCAATGTTGTATGGTCTCTTTGGTCTTCTATATCGTCGTCGTCGTCTTCTTCTTCGCAAATTTCAATCTTGTCCCTCGTCTCTCTTTTGGCTTTCTTGTTTCTCTCACGACTTTCTCGTCTGTTTCTCTGCTTTCTCGTCTCTCTCACAACTTTCTTGTGGTCATCGTCGAGGAAGTGAGTGTCTACGTGTTTGCCATCGAGGAATTGAGTGTCTAGGTGTCATCTAGGTCTTCGCCGT